GTATCCGAGCCAGGCAGCGGCTGTTTTTACAAAATGAGTGATTTCCGTTTACTAGGTTCCATTTTTCTAGGCTAAAATGCTTTCAGATGTATAGAAACCGCATCGTTTGCGTAGGCTACGGCGTTCTTCTCCAATGAGTAAACCATGTAAACGCGTGTGCATTGCACAGTAATGCAAATATGTGAGTTTCCGTGCACAGCAGCACACGCACGCACACAATCACGGACACGCCTGCTTGTACACACGCGCACCCATTCACGAACACACAAACACCCACGCGCGTGTGGGCACGAACACACACACGCACACACGTATGCCCACTGAGACCCACACGGCCACTCACACAAGCGCACACACCAACACACCCGCGCACGAACATCTACCACACACATGCGCGCGCACGCATAAGCACGCGCGCGTGGCTACCGTGCTCCTAGCTCTAGAACTATTATCTATAGCCCATCACTCTGCCACAGGCCTGTGGCAGAGCGTGTGTCAGAGCGAAGGGCTATAGTTCTAGAGCTACCGTGCTCCAATCTATATAGCTGTCGATGGCACCGGTTTTGTGATTACCGAGATTTATTAATCACATGCTGCATCAGCGCAACATTACTCGCGGCCACCATCACGCTCTGCCTCACTCACAATACGATACATCCGTTTAGCACGATCAACATGTGTGCGTTAGACGGTAGACCTATGTAGCAGCACCGCAGTACAGTAGTACTACGTGCGAACGCGGTACAGCAGGACCTGGTGAACAAATGAGTTCCGTTTCTCGCACTGCGGGGTGTAACTACTTGTGACTCTGGTGGTCGTGTGCATAGTGTGAAACGTACCGGTACGGTCGTTACCTACCTAGCCTGAGTAAGCCTGAGTATCTAACAACTGTACAACCCACCCCACCTGTAGAGTGTACACCACACTGTCTGTAGCCCACCTAGCAGCTTGCATAGCCCAACCTGGTACAACCTACTGTGTGTAACCCACCAACCCAACTACCATGTTACTTGTACGGGTATAAAGATCTCTAAATCGCTTGTACAATTTAGTAAATACAATACACGCGCTGAACAATACAACAAGATTCAATCCACTATTGCCAACGAAGAGTGTACAACCTACGGTACACTACCGACGAATTCAATATATATAATATATATATAGTATAATACTATATATATAAGTATGGGTGTGTGTGTGTGTGTGTGTGTGTGTGTGTGTGTGTGTGTGTGTGAGAGAGAGAGAGAGAGCGTGCGTGCGTGCGTGCGTGCGTAACAACTAACATAGCCCATGGCGGACGCACGAATGCACGAGTGCACGAGCACGAGCGTGCACGTCGTGCACGAGCGCACGACGCACGAGTGATCCCCTGCCAACTGTTGAGGGAGGTGTCGCTCACATTCGTTCCTAACTCTTGGGTGAAAGTGACAATCCTGTGATTAATTTTGTTCCCGCCACAAAGCGGTCCCGTTGTCGCGCGCGCGTGTCACCACTGTGAACAGGTTTATTGCGGGTTCGTAGTGAGTACGTGTAACTGACGCTGAAGGGGTCGTTGCCGTATCAGGAGGTGCATATATGTATACAGTATACACAAAGTGTACCAGACTTGTAATACAGAAGTTTACCCTAACCTTAACCCTAAACATACCTCAAAGTCATATACATATATAAACATAATACTAAACAACCTAAAACTACATCGGGTACATATATGTAATACCTGATACGACAACGACCCTTCGTGCGTAACTGACCAACAAGGAAATGCGCGGGTGCTCACCGCAATACGTAGGAATACGCTGAATGACTGGGCGCATAGCGTGTAAATACTAAATAGTAACGGGTACGTTAACGTACGGTCCACGTAACCCTCCCACATAAAGGCTCATAAGACACATAAGCTCACCGATGCTACTAGAGTTAGTTTCGACTCGCGTTGGTTACGGTGAGCAGAGTGAACCTACTAGAGACGAGGGTCGTAGACCCGGCGTCTGCAACGCCATTCAATGGGACGATTATAGATAGTATCAAGAGCATATAATACCTAGCGTGTACAACGAGAAAATAGTGCTATTTCACGGCAATATTATTCTACTTTGTCTGCGAGTCTAGAATGTTCATGGTATTCCCTTAAAGCAACCTGTAGCATGTTCATGGTATTCCTTTTTCATGCAACTCGGCTGCGATTCTAGCATCCCTTTGCTCTCTGAAACAAGACCAACCGCTTGCCACTACGATACTCCTAGGCCGAGATATTGGCGTGTAAACCTCGCCTCCCACAGGCCTCACGACGCCTCGCATCTACATTATTCTCGAACTAGTATTAGCTCTTGATAGTATCAAGTATCGGGAGTCGGCCTACGCACCTGTGCCATCCAACTACATCCATAGAAAACACCTAATTTCAGCTTACAGCAGCTGCTGCTGGCCGCTAGCGATTGATAAGGATTTCCCCCTATAAACACGTAAGGGCGGTAGCATTCAGTAGCCACCCATGCAAGCGTGCATTCGATCCGCCGGTCTCGTTCGCAAGTAGCTGCGTCATCGCTCATAAACGAATTAATTATGCTGGACGTGGTGTTGGCAACCGAGAGCGATGTTATCGGAGTGGGTACACATGCACTTGGAGCGTTTCAATAAAATATAATGCTAAATAAATACGAAATCTATTTACTACCAAAGTCCTAATCTTAATGTTTCTATAATCTCTTTCACCTATTATTCCCGACAATTTCCTGCAAATGCCATCCAAATGCTCATCCGTAGACTGTAACAAACGCTGGCTGCCGCTGCACACTGACACATAAATAGATATATTATCAAGAGCTAATAATACCTAGAGTGTACAACGGAAAAACGAGAAAATAGTGCTATTTCACGACAACATTATTCTACTTTGCCTGCGAGTCTATAATAATTTCATGGTATTATTAGCTCTTGATATTATATATTTAACAACTAAATGTATCACAATACAAGTTAGACAATACGTAGCGCGATACTTCCAATGGCGCTGTCGCTCTGTAAATTTGCAGACGAAATTTATGTTTACGTGATACGTGTACTGGTAATGGTTTGTATCATGAAACAATGTACACGAAACGTCCTAGACGCTGAAAAGAATTTTTTGCCACACTGGTAGTTTTTTTGCTCTAGCCCTGGCACAAGTCTTACAGGTGTCCGTTTTTTCAATTATTAATGGGTCATATTGATCTAGTTACGACATACAAGAATACAAGTATTCCGTATATTGTGTATGTTTTTCTGTTACGGCTGGCGGGCCGTAATAGCCTAGGGGCTACCTAATGGTTGGGCCCGTTTGGTAGTTCTTACAGTAAGCCTAGAAATCGCTACCATACTTCGCATACATAAAGGAACAAACTATAAACTCTAAACCAAGGCAAATTGTTCTCAACATAAAATGGCACTTGCGTTTTTTCATATACCGGTTTTTGCTGCTACTGCTGCTGTAGATATGTAACGTTGAATGTCGATTTAAATAGAATTAATGTTCGATGTAGAAATGATGAAGAAGGAATCCAAACTTGTGTATTAAACTTAATAAACTTTAATAACTGGCACACAGTGTAGTCACATCTTGCACAATGACCCTAGAAACGCCCGACCTAAAACACGTTTACAATAATTTATTCTCCCTATAACATCAATGTAGCCGCAACAAGATGCGCGACGCTCTGTCTACATAGATTACCACTAAAACAACCCCGAGTCTAGCCGCACTCCGCGTCTCTAGCTAATTTATGTAACATCTGTAAATCATATTATGTTACACATACATTAGCTTAGGTAAGTTAGTAAGTTAAGTAAGGTCATTGTAAGGTAAGTTGGTAAGGTTGGTGTGGGTTGAGCAAGGATGATGAGGGGAAAACTTCGGCACGATTTCTTTACTAGGCAACAATTTTTGCAAGACTCGCCAAAATTAATTTAGGTGACCATTACTGTAAATCATTGTTGGCCAATTTGGTTCATTCGCCATCTGCATTACCAACAGTCGTTTTGGAATGCATGTACACAGATCCTGTATGGCGGCAGTTTATGTTAGATGTGCCAGCTACGTGACGTAACGGTACTGTAACTGTAGCAAAGTACGTGGTGACAACGAGGACAACTCTGCAGTAATGTCAGGGCATCATATCAGCTCTTGCAACCACAAACTTGAAAGGGTATGTTAGTGAAGCTCATAGGGTCTATGTCCCCCAGGGTACTGCCGGCGTAGGCGGCTCCCTAGACTCGTTAGTGGAGTAGGTGAGGTATGGTCCGGCATATTAGATAGTATCAGGGTACGTTCCGGTATACCGGACCGTACCCAGGGTACGTTCCGGCAGTACCCTGGGGGACATAGACCCTCTCAGCGTTAGTGAAATGAACGCAGAGCCGACAGACTATGAGTCCAAGTCAGAGCATCAGCCAAACAACCTGGTAGTTGTACAGATAATGATGTCCCAATTTTATTTATTTATTTATTTTTGCCCAGGGACACCCTCTCAATCCTCGATAGGTACTGTTCTTCTCATGAAATTTGAGATATACGGTAATTACTTTCTCATCATCATATAAATTATGATCGAATATCAAATGTTTGCGGTAATATAACCGATTAGATAACTAGCCTACTTATAGAGATAGGATAGCCTACTTCAAGGATAGAGAACATGGGTCCCAATAAAACCAATGTCATTTACATCAATATAAATATAATATTATATCAATTAATGGTTAAGGTTAGCAGAGTTAGGATTAGGGTTAGGAGGATCGTTAGGTTAGAATTAGGGTTAGGGTTAGGTTTAGGCACATTGGTTTTATTGGGACCCATGTTCTCTATCCTTGGCCCAACAAAATATTCATTAATCATAGAAAAATTGGTTAAATTGCAAAAAATAAGCATTTTGGAAGTATTATTATAAATTATCATTGCAAGATAGAAAGATATTTAGTTAACAACTTATTAAACATCAAATCGCCGTAATCTAGCTTACTTATGTGGGTCGAAGTTTGCATATTTCTTCCATTCTGGGTTGCTTTTGTAGTTGTTCATAAGCATCTCCACTACTTCGACGTCTACGTCATTCTTCTCGAATACTTGTCTCAGTGCAGCAATGAGTTCGTCGAGTGTTTCAGGTAGTTTACCAGTCAATTTCGCAAAAGAAATTTTGCGGTTTGCCATCATTACGTCTGCGTCGAAACCGCAAAAGCAGTAGGCCACGTATTGAATCGATCAACTATCATCGCGCATCAGTGCTTCGAAGTTAATCTACAACAAGTGAGCTAAGCTGAATGACAACAACCAATCGGACATAGCTGCGTACACAAACACAGATTATCCTGCGACAAGTGTTAAAGACTAGTAAGATCACACCGTAGATTAATACGGACGAAGACGCACTGAAAGGAAACTCACGACCACAAATATGAAGCTGAACGAATGTTAAAACAATTCAAATCACTATGTTGCATAACATAAACCGATAAACTCCAGATACGAATACAGCGTCTCGAAATATAGTGAGAATACACAAGACTTTGCGACAAGCAAGAGTGACACGCCAGTAGATGTGATCTAGTAAAAAACGATACGATAATAAGTTGAAGACAAAATGATGATGATGAGTATAACACGACGGATTGAATTCACGATCCATATAACACACAAGTTGGCCTGAATAAGCGCATGCACAAGCTTTACAAGGAATACCACCACAATAAGCAACGCCGAAATACAGAGTCGGATAGCGCACCACCACACTTAACAATGACTAAGACGTCGCAAGACCAATATAACACACAATAGAAGATTGAAGAAGAGAACTACATAAATTCTCATAACATATCAAATATCTAAATGGCATACAGACATCATAAGCACAAATATGAAGTACCTAGTACGCATTAATAAACTAATACCGAGTCTATATAAATACTATATAAATCAATAAATCAATAAATATATTAATATAATAAGAATATACAATATCATAATAAATGTAAATAATATACACAGCTACCTAAATGTATATAATTGCAGATCCTAATTCCACATATTACCAGAAAAGACAAAGAAACAGAAATATATTGGTCAGCTATCAACTAATTTCAGCATCGTTCGTTGAAGATGACTCCTTATCGAAACCGTATTAGCTTATAATAATTGGAAGTCTAATATAACTGACATACATATGTTGTCAGTGCTACAAGCGAAACAATACGTCTGATCGCTAAATTGTACATGGTCACCGAAATCATTCGCTATTTTAGATATATTATTATTAATAGCCGAGGCACACATCCCAAATAGAAAAGCCCGTCCTCTTCAGAATCATCATTTTCGTAGTGCTCACGATATCTCTGCTCATCTCTCTCTAGGGCTCTCCTCTCTCTCTCTCTCCTCTCTTCTCTTCTCTCTCTCTCTCATCTCTCCTCTTCTATCTGCTCTCTTCTCCTCTCTCTCTCTCTCTCTCTCTCTCTCTCTCTCTCCTCTCTCTCTCTCTCTTCTCTACTCTCTCTCTCTCTTCTTGTCTCTCTTTACTCTCTCATCCCTCTCTTTCTCTCTCTCTCTCTCTCATCTCTCTCCTCTCCTCAATCTCTTTTCTCCTCTCATCTCTCCTCTCTCTCTCTCTGACATGAAGCCAAGACTGTTGAATCTCACGGTTAGACAATAGGCGCAAATGCGGAAGTTTGTGACATTGATGCGTTTTTGACTCCGACAGTACTTGAGCGCTGAGCCAGCGGTATATTTGGGATACAAAATATGGCTTGCCGGTCTAGTATTGATTATATGAAATACTTGACTGCGGTATAGATTCCTGCAGCATCCGGCGTATAAGTGATTTCCGCGTAACTCTCGTCGCTGCGCGAATCATAAAATGCCTCGCTACCGCTCTCCTCCTCCGTACCCTCACTCGCTTCTCTCCTTCTCTCTGCTCTCACGTCCTATCTCTTCTCTCATCTCTCTCCTCTCTCTCTGCTCATCTACTCTCTCCTCTCTCTCTCTCTCTCTCTCTCATCTCTCTCTCTCTCTCTCTCTCTCTCTCTCTCTTCTCTCTCTCTCTCTCTCTCTTCTCTCTCCTACTCCTCTCTCTTCTCCTCTCTCTCTCCTCCTCTCTCTCTCTCGTTCTCTCGCTCTCTTCTCTCTCTCTCTCGCCTCATCTCTCTCTCTCTCTCTACTCTCTGCTCGTCTCTCTCTCTCTTCTCTCCTCTCTCTCTCTCGTCTCTCTCTCTCTCTCTACTCTCTCTTCTCTCGTCTCTCTCTCTCTCTCTCTCCTCTCTCTCTCCTCTCATCTCTCATCTCGTCTCTCTCTTCTCTCTCTCTCGTCTCTCTCTCTCTCTGCTCTCCTCTCTCTCTCTCTCTCTCTCTCTCTCTCCTTTCTCTCTCTCTCGCTTCTCGTCTCTCTCTCTCTCTCTCTCTCTCTCTGCTCTCTTCTACTCATCTCATCTCTCTCTCTCTCTCCTCTCTTCTTTTTCTCTCTCCTCGCTTTCTCCTGTCGTCTCCTTCTCCTCCTCGTCAGTCTCTTCCTGTCTTTCTGCTCGGCGTGTCGTCGTGTCTCTTTCTTGGTGCGTCTCTGTTGTGGTTTGTTTTGTCGTTTTCTCTTGTTCCTTGTTTTGCGCGCTCTGGGTGCTGTGGTGTTTCTTTTGTGGTCGTCGCGTGCGTGCGGGTGTGGGCGTGGCGGTTTGCGTGTGTGCGTGCGTGCGCGTTGGGTGTCGCGTGTTGCCGTTTTCGCGTGCGTGTGACGTGCGTTGGTAGCCAGCGGCGCGCGCTTGTCGCTTTGTGTCGCTTGTGTGTGCTGCTGCTGTGGTCCTGTGTTAGCAGCGCGCGCGCGTGTTATGTATACCAAATAAACATAGCTAGTACAGATATGTTCACAATTTCAACTGCAGATGGCAGCACATCACATTTGTGTGCGCGTTCATAGCACTAGCAGACAATGAAGCATAATAAACTTAGAGATATATTAGAAAACGGTTATTATAGTATACTAGCGGATATAGTAGTTATCATGGCAAATATACCGTCATTAAAGCTGAGTTTAGTGTACGTTTTCTCCATGTTTTGTTCAGGTAAAACTAATTGTCTGTTGTCACTGTCGGTTTCAGTGCAAGTGTTGTCAGTCAGTGTCACTGTCAGCCTCAACTTGAGTTGAGGCCCAAGCAGTGACTATAACTTTGGTAAAAAAATGTAAACGTGCGTGATGATTCAGTGTCACATTTTTATTGCTGTTATTATCAGGATTCGGACAGTATTACCAACAACAACCAGGCCAGTCCGCTGGTGGATACGGTCAATATGGGAGCAGATATTATGGGCAGGCTTCAGTGGGCCAATCTGCTTCTGCTGCTTCCTACTATGGTAATCATTAAATACTTAATAATGGGTCATTTTATAATTCCGTTCATACTACACATACAAATGCATGCCATTAGGCGAATATCTGATACATACCAGGTATACATATCACGTTTCTTTAATGTGCTTCTACAATGCAGGAACCCAGCAACAGCAGTACAGTGGCCGATGGGGAAAATGGAGTGCCTGGATATGCACAGAGGAATGTGTCGGCTCCGTGAAAGCAACAAGGAAAAGAAGATGTACAAATAATTATTCGGGGACAACCTGTGCACCTGATGCCAATGGAATCTCAGGTGTCCAGACTCAACCATGCGCAGGAGTTTGTAAAAAAGGCAAGCAATATTTCTACTGTGCAGCTTGTGCATACTTATAGTCAAGAAGAGCATATAAGCAATTTTTTGTTTTGATTAGGGTGGCATATGCTATTGCTATAGTGTATTTGCCGCACTAAAACAAGACATTTAAATTTATGCATGCATGGTTTCAGTTAAACAATAAATAACAGACAAGGTTGATTTTTCGTTTTTTACTGAAGTCTTATATATTACCAAAGACCAAGAAGGCAATATGGAAACGGCAAAGAATAGTAGGATCGTGGATCACATCAGTCAAAGTTTTTAATATTAATAAAACTAAATCTAACCACATCGTTTCTTCGGCTTGCAGAATGGGCAATGTGGGGTGACTGGAGTGAGTGCACGGCAACGTGTGAGGCACCTGATCGCGTGAGGCACCGCCGATGCGAGGGTTTCGGAATACCCTGTGTCGGAGTAGCGCAGGAGTTCTCCCAGTGTCAGGATCCATCACGCCAACAGTTCTGCCCGCTAGGTACAGGTCATTAATATACTAAGGCTCACCACACTCTCATTATGAATTCTATATTACCTATAGAGTTGCCGCTGGCCGGGCAGCCTCATGGAAACAGAAACCGCAATTTACAAGTGCTGCCAGTACATGTAATTTCCAGAGAATAATACATGCAAATACTAATGTTACGTGTATGTGCCATCTATGAAATGGTAATTTGGGAACGTACTGTAAGCTGACCGCTAAAACAGCTCATGCGGGCCCTGTCAAACAACACTAGAAGGTGTTCTGGGCAACACTAAGAGTGCTTGAGAGCACCTATGCCAAATCTTGTCAATTTAAAAGTGGGTTCTTGGCCTCTGTAGTAGAGGTGGCACGTACTGGATTGCATCGTTTAGAAAACTGTTGGGAACATGAACCTAAATTTATTCTAATCTGATCTAATTTTCACCAATTGCACATGCAGCATAGTATGTTACAGCAAAAAGAACTGTTAGCCTTGCTTCACGTTTCTTTCCATGTCAAACAGCCATGTATCTCCATATGACCAGTACCTGGCATAGTATATATGCTTGGTTGTAAGTGCCAATTGAACGGCAACACCCTAGTTTTACAGATAGAACCTTCTCCTCATTCAAGGAGGCTTCGAGTTAAAAACGTCTGACTTGTGAAGATCTGTAACTTTTGGTTGCGACTGTGATCTTATTCTCTTACGAAGCTGATATCGTGTCTATTTTTAGTGGATGGTGGCTGGTCGCGTTGGAGTGACTGGGCTGTAGAATGCAGCGTTACTTGTGGGTATAATGGTGTGAGGGCTCGCACCAGGGTGTGCAACAACCCACCACCCACAAAGCGTGGCCGAGGTAATAAGAATGTCATATCTCATAAGGTTGCTCCACTCCATTTCTGGTGAAACAGTATGGTTTTTGACAAGTTAGTTTCGTGAGTCTAAGCATATGCATGCCTACCGAAATCTAATTTGCTCTTCTATCTACCGTTATAACGTTGTACCACCCTGTTATAAGCAATGTA